CCTCTCTCTCTCTCTCTCTCTCTCTCTCTCTCTCTCTCTCTCTCTCTCTCTCTCTCTCTCTCTCTCTCTCTCTCTCTCTCTCCTCTTCCCCTCTCTCTGCAGTATATGATTTCTCCCTCCAACCTCCCCCTCTCTCTCACCATATAAAGCTATGGTGCATTAGTACCGCCTACTCTACCTGTGCTTCCGTCTTACCCTGAACAGCATGTAAGGTGGGAATCGCTGCTTCTAGACTGGAAGTTGGCCCCAAATATGTGCGTAATGACGTGCGTTTTATTCGGGGGGAGGAAGACAGTTACTGTCTTACTCTCACCCTTTCTCTCCAGCCCGACTTCTCTCTAGCACTGCCTTCTTCAACCGAATACAAACGTACAGGCATTATTGCTGTATTTCGACGGAACGATACCCCAAATACAGCTATAATGACCGTGGGTTGTATTCAGGTGAAGATGGTAGCGCTCGGCAGTGCTCCAGCAGTCCAGTGAGTGAAAGGCAGGCTGAGGCAGACGGGTCTTTTGAAGTGTTGACTTGGCTTGGCGTGCCTCCAGTTGCCTCCTCGAATGGCTGAGATTTTCTGATCAGCGCGGCCCAGATTTCGTTGCGCCCAGTGTGTACCTTGCCCGGTAGGCCCTGGAGGCTTTTTCTTTTTTTTGGGGATGTTTCCTGAACCAGATTCTGAGCCTTTGATTTATGTGTGCAATCTGTGGGCGTGGTAGAGTCCTGGAGATATCTTCGACTCTTGGACTGCGCTCCCCGATAGGCCGTGATTGTCGACTGTCCTAGGGCCTAGATTTCCACTGGCCCTGGGACTCATTTGTGACGCCTGAGCCCAGTATAGTTATCAATCTGTACATCGGGGCCCAAGGCCCCTCCTCCGTGCAATCACGGAGTCGAACCAACTTCGTCGGCTGACCACCACAGCCAGGACCCGATCGATGTTCAGCAAAACATTGGAACCAACTACCGGTCATGATGTCCACCCCACCCCTGCAAGCCGCTAATGTCCAACTCGACACAACATCATGCACGACACCGCACGAACACACCGCACGGGTATGACAATTCTTGCACAGCTTGCGTGACCTCCTCTGGTACCTAAACCACACGAACGCACGAACGCACGAACGCACTGCACAAACGCACCGCACGCGGGTTCACGGGAGCCTTCGCAGTAATTATAGATCCGTACATCTGGCCCCAAGGCCCTCCGCCCTGAGCCCAGACCTACGTAGGGGCTTTCAGGGGCCTATCAGGGCGCCTTAGGCGCCTTAAGAGTCGACTTTCTAAGGCCTCTGAGTAGGCCCTAGAAATTCCTAGGTTGGTAGGCCCTGGGGTCATGGGTCGAGACGCTGTAGAAGTGAAGTTCGTAGACCAGCGGTCGAAACGAGAAGGGAGATCATTGACTTGGCCAACAGCTAGGGCCTTCCCAGAGGCATTACAGCTGACTTTCTGAGGCCTCTGGGTAGGCCCTAGGAACTTCCTAGGTTGATTTGACAGGTCTGGTGTCAGGGGTGAAAACAATCAAGGAGCCCAGGGCCTGCGGAAGTCAAAAGTCTGAGCCGTAGGAGAGTCAACAGGCAGGCCCTAGAAAAGTCAGCAGGCAGTCCTACTGCAATCAGACTCGTTTTCTTTCTTACTTAGCATGCATGAAACAGATGGCAATCACACCGGCCGGCGACAAGCGCCCACACGAAACTCAGAGAAATCGTGGCCGAGAACACAGTTCAGATTCCACTTGCTTCAAAATGGCTATGGCGCCTGTTACATGCTGCGCCTGCAACAGGCTGCACGGGCCATTTTCAGGCCCGTGACGTTTTCAGCCCGAAAGCCTGAAAACAAGGGCCTACAGGCCCTGTGTCGTTTCAGCCTGAAAGCCTGAAACAAGGGCCTACAGGCCCTGTGTCAGGACCTTCCAGGCCCTGAGTCTTTTCAGCCTGAAACGGAGGGCCATTTTCAGGCCCTCATAAGATCGACCTGCCCCTGAAACTCAGGCACCAGACCAGGGTTTTAGCACAGGCCATTTTGGGCCTGTTTTCAAGACAACCTTTGTTTGAGCTTCAACGCCAGGGTCTGGCACGTTTTGGCATAGGCAAGAGCAGCCTCCTGGACGGGCCAGCACTACATAAGACTGGCCCGCCCTGCAGGCGGCAGGTAGTTCATAGGGTCTTCCCAGGTACTTCACGTGCAGTTCAGGAGGCAGGAGGTAGTCTTCAGGATTCGGCAGCAGCACTCTGGTGGAGGACTGCAGTAGTAGTAGTAGCGTTAGCAGTAGTCTTCAGCGGGCGCGAGTAGGAGCTAGGAGGGAGAGAGAGAGAGAGAGAGAGAGAGAGAGAGAGAGAGAGAGAGAGAGAGAGAGAGAGAGAGAGAGAGAGAGAGAGAGAGAGAGAGA